TCACCTGCCTAATGAACAGCTAATGACAGAAGGGATGGGTCATTAAAGCCACACAAATGAATATGAGTTGAGTCTGGGCTTAAAAAAAATCAAACACCACTTCCCACCACATAGATGCATACAGAGAGTGAGAAATAAAAACATCGTTAAAGAAGAGCATTTATACCCAAGAGTTACTGATGTCTCGTGGCAGAGATTGTGTGCGTGTGAATGCAGTCGAAGGAAAATCGGTCCATGCACATGAATATCAATGAGAAGGCAAACGTGACAGAATTTGTAGAATATGGAAGAAGGTCTAGTGCAGAGTTTCAGAAAACAGATGGTTGGCTGCATGTAGAGTACAGAAAGCTGGGATTCTTTGGATAATGGCAGAGGTGACCAAAAGACCGGAGATGCCCCTGAGGAACGACTACATTCGGTTGCAGCCATCTTCATGGAACAGAAGGCGGTTTCTGACCTACAGAAACCATGCTCCAAAAGGGCAAAAAATCTTCTTAGTTCTGCCCACCAGCACAACCCTATCTTGTCACATGGACAGACATCAATGCAAGCATTTGCTGTGCCATTTATAAGCCCGCTCAGGTGTTAAGATCATCCAGGGAGGCCTTTTTCTCCCTCCCAGCATCTTTACATCTTTGGTTGGGGACAAGGGAGAGGGCCTTCTCATTGGCTGCTGCCAGACTGTGGAACTCCCTCCCACTGGAAGCCAGGCTGGCCCTATCTTTGCTGTCCTTCCGCAAGCAAGCAAAGACCTTTCTCTTCAAGCAAGCTTTCCCTCTGTGATGGACTGCCTGTGTTTTTTTTTCTTAAACTGGAATGGTTTGTGTTTTTGTTTTTGAATTTATTTCAGTAATGTTTTTATTTGACATTTTTACTATAATGCTTATTCAATAAGCATTTGTAATGTTTGTATAATGTATTGCTTTATCTTTCAGACATTGTCGTTTTAAAATGATATCAGCCACCTTTTTTTTTTTAAAGGAGAAAGGCCGGGTAAAAATATTTCAGATCAATTCATGCTGAGTCAAGAGCCCAAGAGTGCTGCGTTCTTAATCCGTGTAGCGACTCACCAAGGTTTACACTGATTGTGTTATTGCTCAAGTAAAACCATAGGAGCATTTTGGCTCTCTCTCCCTCCCTCCCTCCCTCCCTCCCTCTCTCTCTCTCTCTCTCTCTCTGTGTGTGTGTGTGTGTGTGATTCAACAAACACCCCCCCTCCATCTGATCCAGCTAACCCTGCTGTAGCAGATCAGCTGCTGAGCCTTCCAACCCAAACGGGCCGAATCTGCAAAAAAACAGCCATCATCATGGTGGTTAAAAAGAAGAAGAAATTCCATCTGGTCAAAATCATTGGCTGCTCTTGTCTTAGATTAGTTAAGTGCAGGGGTGTGTGGACTTTATTTTACTCTAAGGTGGCAGACGCGCAGTTCCCCTGCATTTCAGGAACCTTCATTTATCCTTCAGTGGGTTTGGCTTCAAGAGACTGGCCTTCCTCCAAACCACAGTGGAGTTATAGCAGTGTTCTGAAGCCCAATATCTCACACCTTTGAAAAAGAAAATACACCATGGCTTACTGATTAACAAATTGGTTTCTCCGTTTTTTTTAAAGGTGCCAAGTGTATCGAGGTTTTCCTTTCCATTTAAAATATAATTTGCTCGCTATCTCCTCAGATGAAAACCGTCACTCTGGACACGGTTGTTAGGGTCCCATACTGTCAAGTCCCCTCCAACTCAGGGTGAACCCATGCAGTCAGCGGTCTCCAAAAGACCCCATCCACCACAGCTCTGCTCAGCTCTGGGAGACTCAAGCCCATGGTTTCCTTTAGGGAGCCCAATGGTCTCGTATTTGGTCTCCCTCTTTTCCTGCTGCCTTCCACTTTTCCCAGCAATATGTTTCCCTCCCCCCCCAGGGAATCCTGTCTTCTCATGAGGTGCCCATAGTAGAACATCCTCTGTTTCAACGGTTTTACCTCCACTGATCGTTCAGGCTTGGTTTGATGAGTCTCAGCTCACATTCCTGGTCTAATGTCAGGCCCACAACTTGGCACGTGACCAGGGATGAGAGCAGCAACAACCCAGGGAAGATGTCTGTGCAAAATGGAAACGTTAGGAGTCTCCTGTGGGAGAGGAGGTGGCCTGTTCTTCTCCACAGCCCTGGTTTCTGTGCATCCTGTCGGGGTGGACCTTTGGCTGAAGACTCGGCCGTGGCAAAGGGTGAGCCCTTGCTGGCTCTCCTGTGTTTGCAGAGCCCCCGGAAGTATTTCTCAAAATCTATTCTGCCTTCTCCAGAAGGGCTGCTGCAACCTTGCCTAACGTGAAGGGTGGCAGTCATCACCCTCCATGGATGCTTCCCGGCAGCGGGCTCCTACACCTGGGAGACCCTCTTTGAATGGGGTTCCCCCTGACTCCCACACCTGTGGACCTGGGGGTGCAGGGATGCTGGGAGCCAGGCCACAAGAAGGATGCAGGCCTTGAGAAGAGGATGCCCCGGGTTGAAGGCTTGCAGGGAGGTCAGTGGACATCTGACCCACTGCCTTCGGGAGGGGCTGGAATCCTATCGCTATCATCATCCTCATCATCATCGCCCCCACCACCCCTTCGCCACACCTGTAGGCCAGCTGGCTCAACCCCTGAGCAACAGCGCCGCCTGGCGCCTCCGGGAGGAAAAGGAAGCTTTTTGGACAGGTTTTGGGAAGGAGGAATGCGCGCTCCCGTTGCATCAAAGCTGGTGTTCAGGGCTGGCTCGCTCCCGCCTCCCCTTCTTTTTCCCCTCTTTCTTTCTTTCTTTGCAAACCCCTTCGCCACACCTGTAGGCCAGCTGGCTCAACCCCTGAGCAACAGCGCCGCCTGGCGCCTCCGGGAGGAAAAGGAAGCTTTTTGGACAGGTTTTGGGAAGGAGGAATGCGCGCTCCCGTTGCATCAAAGCTGGTGTTCAGGGCTGGCTCGCTCCCGCCTCCCCTTCTTTTTCCCCTCTTTCTTTCTTTCTTTGCAAGCAAAAAGCCTCCCCCCACCCTCC